TGTCCCCCTCGCTGGAGGAGAGACCACGGTGTTCTCCTGTCTGTCCTTCTGGGTCTGCCGTGGGAGCTTCCTACCAGACAGAAAGAAGGCTGGAATTGACTTTGAGAAGGACGTATGCACTACTTCCCTTCCTCCCTTGGAACACAGTCTGTACTTTTTTGTCTAGATCTGTAAACAGTTTCTTAGAGTTAATCTAGCTTCCTAGTTGTTTATAGTTGAAAGGCCAATCCAGTCTGGTTTATGAGGACACCGTGAGCGCCTCCTAGACAGTACGGCACCCATTGAGTCTGTCAACAGAAGTGTCCTGGAGGTCACTGTGCACAGGATCAGCCTGCACTGAGATTGGACCCAAGACTGGGGTGGCACATCCCAGACAGGTAGGGGTTATGATGGTTGGGAGGTAAGGGGGGTGATCTGGGACTCCCTCTCTTTCTGAGAACCTTTCCCAAGTCTTCTCTTGTGTGTTAGGTATGTGGGTCAGGGACAGCTTGTGTCTTCAGACTTCCAGGTGTAAGAAGGAATCTCAGGCTGGAGACACTGAATCTCCCATTTCGTGTGTAGGCTTAGATATCCTTCTCTATTCAAATATTTGTGGTGCTTCCTTAGTGTGTGTGGTTTTTTTTTTTTTTTTTTTTTTTTTGTCCTTCTTCTGTATCTGAGCTGTCGATCGAGGATTTCTAAAAGCATTCCGCTCGGGGGTTTGCATTTATAATCTGCCTAATTATCGCCATGACCTCGCAAGGTGGATCCCGGTATCTCTGTGATTGCTTCCACTCATGAAGAAAGAGACTAGGAGATGTACCTGAGATCAGACAACCGGATGTGATACAGCTGGGATTTGAACCTACACCCTTCTCACTCTGTGCTTGGCACTCTGCTCTTGAGCCAGAGTCTTCTGTATCCCAGTCTGGCCTCTGGTTCACTATAAGGCAGAGGGTGACCCTGAACTTCTGGTACCCTTGCGTCTGCCTCCCAAGTGCCATTGGTTACAGGTGTGCACCCCTAGCCCTCATTTTATACAGTGCTGAGGATGGAATGCCGGGCTTCAGAACTAACTGAGAACCAACTGAGCTGCATCCCGCGTGGATGGCACGCTTGGCATCAGGCTGCGTGCCCCTCCCCTCTCACGCGCTACCTTTGTGCTGCTGTGACGTCTGTCTGTCTGTCTGTCTTCTTAGCGGTTGTGTCATTGGAGACTGTGAGAGCTGCACTCCCAAACCTGTGTCTTCCAAGCCCAGCAGAGCCTCCCCAGGGCGAGTTAGGGCAGAGACAAAGAGCAGGAGACACCATCTCTTTGTTTCTTACCTTAGAAAAGAAATAGCCCCGCACTCTTGGAATTAGTGTAATTAATTAGTTAATGTAAATAATGTGATTAAGTCGGCAGAACTACTTCTCCCGGCAAGAAGATTCACCCCCTCAGTGTGACTTTGTCTCACCTGCTTTAGTCCCTACGGAGAGGTTAGTCACTGGAGTCAGCCAACAGGAGAGTCTCTCACCGTAAGGCTACAGATGAGAACAAGGGTGGGCATCTATTTATTTTTATCGTGATATGCAGCGTACACACCTAGTATCCACGAACCGGAGGGCACTGTGTTCTGTGGTGTTTTGTGTTCCATTCTGCCAAGCATATAAATTCTCTTCCCTTACGAGACAGACTTTATGGGTTCTATCCTGTCAGAAGCACTTATTGAATAATAGCAGCGTTACATGTTCAGCAGCTACTGATAAATTGCGTCAAAGCCCGACATGTGCAACGCCAGAGCCCCGGTTCCTTGAAGCCATATTTTTACTGGCTGATCAAATACGGCACCAGTCTTGATTACGTTTATCTGAACAGGGCCAGCAAAGCATTTCTACAGCAGCCGACTGGCCGCACATGGGCATCCCCAGGCAGCAGCAGGCAGTCAGTGTCCCTCTCCCCCCCATGGAGGGTGCCAGAGCATCTGGGTGCTTCTCAGAGCCCCATCAGCCTCCCCTCCCCCAGCCCCAGTCTGAAAACTGAACCTGTTGTGGGAGGCAGGGTTGGTGCCGCATCTGATGACCTTCTGCAGCTGAACTCATAAGCTCTGTGCTGACTGGCATTGGTCAGGCCAGAGGCTAAAATGTAAGGTGAGAAAGCCAGGCGCTGTTAGGAATCCATTTCAGGGTTCCTTGGAGTCTGTAATTATTCAGTTAAAAAATGCCTCCAGCCTGTGCAACTCCCAGTAAGAGGAGAAACAGGAGGAGGGCGATGTGGGGGATTCTTGCGGCTCTGAATATCTCTGAGCTCAGAGGAACTCAAGGAGAACGGGTCCTTGTTGAGAGCAGCCGGTTCTTTGGTTGCTTGTTTGTTTCCATGCCTTAGACGTGTGGCAGGCGCAGAGATGAATCCCTGGACCCAGTCAACTCTGGCTGTATCTCACCTCCCTCTGTCCTTTGGAGATGCAGTGGCCTGAATCTGTAGAACATTTAGGTATGGGATGCAAGAGATTCTCTTCGCTGGGGAACTAAATTGATGCCATTCAGAGTTAGCGATCAGAAGCATTTATTTTCCATTATTCCTGTTTACAAGGACGTCTGAGGTGGGATAGCTCTCATCTTAGGTTAGGAAGTGAGGGCCTGAGAATGCAGGGCGTGCTCTCTTTCTGAAGGAAAGCAAGAGATCCTCTGAGACATCTCTGTTCATACGATCTTCTCGTGTGAACAGATCTGATCTCCTGGTGGTATCATTAAATGGGCAAGTGGCCTAATAAAATAACTTTCTTCCTGATAGCGTGGATTCATGAACAACCGTCAAGGGATGTTTCTGGTATCTCTGGCTGCCTGATCTAGATGCTGGCAGGAAAGAGAAAGCCTAACCTTGTGTTGTTTCCCATGCTCTCTTCTCCCACAGCATCAGTAAGTGGATCATCGAAAGTCACAAAGGAACCCAAGTCTTTGTTCTTCATGTCAGGGTAAAGCTCTTAAAAAAAATCTGCGAGCCCCATTCGTTTTCATTGCCACCCTCTCCAGGGTATAAAGGGCAACAGAGGACAAGCTCTGGGGTCTAACAGAGGCAGGTGTGAGAAATGTGCCCCACTCCAAAGTTTTCTTCAGTTGAGTTGACACATTGTTGCCTATTGCACATGAGAGGTCGCTCTGCACAATTATCACTTGACTCAGCAGAAGGACTTGAGTTGACACATTGTTGCCTATTGCACCTGAGAGGTCCCTCTGCACAGTTATCACTTGACTCAGCAGAAGGATGGGCGCTCCTGGAAACGGATGGCAACAAGCAAGATATGACGCCAACTCAGACAGAAGCAGCGTGTTTTCACTCAGATGCAGACTGGGTCTGTGCTGTGTGCAGATTTGGATAAAGTCCTAGGAAAGGCTGGGGAGTGAACCAAGACGGGGCCATCGTACGTGATGGAAAAAAGGATGGGTTGGCAGAAGGACACATGGAAACAAAAGAGGGAAAGAGACAGGGATGCAGAGGGGGTGGGAGAGAGTTGTGGCAGAGGTAGACTCGCTCAAACACGCTCTGTCCAAAATCACAGTGATATCTAACCTTATGCCAGTTTAAATGATGAACATAGAAACGAATGCGCGGTTCTGGTTTTGCAGGGATTTTTCAAAAGCGTTTTTTTTTTCTTTTTAATCTCACTTCCTTAGGGATGTGCCTCCACGGAAGAGGCCCCCGAGCATTTGCTAACCTGGCACGTACATGGCACATATCCCTTATCCCAGACACTTGAGATCGACGCTGAGGTTCTTAGAGCTCAGATTTTTTTTTTTATTAAGGCTTCGGAACATTTGCACACCGCTGATCTGTAAATCTGAAACCGGAAATCCAGGGTATTCAAAAAGTTTGAAATTTGGAGCCTTTCCCATATGGGTTTCGTCGGATAGATGCTGGCCTGAGTTCATGCTAAGCTGACCACTGTGCCTGGTTTTGTTAGAAATTGCGCATCTGTCCTTTCATTCACTTAGCAGTTAATGTATTTACTATCTGCTGACATGTATTGTATGTTAGCATGTGCCAAGAGCAGTTTGTTGGCATTGAAAACATCAAACCAGATTGCACGTGAGTTTGCTGCCTCTCCTTCAACCTTCATGCTCACGGGGCAGTCCCATAGTATGTAAACAAAAGTATAATTTTTAATTAAATCCCCTGTGCTGGGGACAATTTTTAGTTAAAATCATGTCTTCCTGTGCTGGGGATTGAACTCAAGTCCTAGAGCTCCTGGAGCAGGCTAGACAAGTGCTCTGCCAGTTAGCTACAACTGCAGCCTGGGAGTTTTTGAGAGGAAATATGTTAGGTATTAAAAATCTAACTACTGCTGTCTGATAAGTGTAGAATAATAGCCAGGAAGTTAAATATTGTGCTGCAATTACAGTGTGATTGTGTGTGTGTGTGTATCTGTCTGTGTGTGTACGTGCATTCATGGATGTGTGTGTGTACATGCCTGTGTGTGTGCTGCCTGGGATGGGACACAGAACCTTGTGCATGCCGAGCGTAGTTTTCCCCTGATCTGACCTACATATAACCCTAAGCATGGGGTCTTTCACGTGCATTGTTTGCAGCTCTCATAGTGGGTCTGCAAAGTACACACTATTAGTCCCACTTATTCAGATGAAAACAATTGAGGCCCATAAGAAACTGAATTTTGTCAAGATCCTAGAACCCATCAGTGGTAAAGCCCTCTGCAATCAAGCCCTTACCTTCTGACCATAAGTCACGGTTTGTGTCTGCGTTATGGCTCCACACATATTGGATTAATCAGCCACAAATTCTTTCCTTTCTGCACTTCACATTAAAAGTCTGAGGAATAGAAACCCTGTGTATCACAAGAGATCCACTCTTTTGCCTCTGACTCTTAATGGTGCTCTTCATGGAACCCCGTGTCTACCTAGGGAAAACGTGTTTCCAGAGCTCAGTCTCCACACACTGCAAAGCTTTGCCAAACCGACCTCCCGACTGCTAATTGCACTCCCAAAGTAAGTCTTCCTTGGGGAAATGGATGGAACCTTGAGCTGAGACACAAACAGGAAGGCGGCGAGGCGACGGTTGGCTGTCCGGCAGGCAGCACCTCTTTACACAGCAGAAGCGCAGCACAGGGAATCTGTTCCCTGCATAGCCTAGGAACTGCACTGCCCTTTGTTCCTTGGCCACAGGGCCCAGCCCTGCTTGTCCCGTGGGAGGACAGGGTAGCACTTAGCGGTGTGAGGTGGAGAAGGCTGTCTGGACATGGTTTCCCTGCTTCCAGGCCATGAGGGCACACTGTGGCAGAGCCGGTCTGTGTCTCTCTCTTGGAAGGGCTGTCTCTGAGACGTTTGCCCTGCTGCTCGGTAAGTCTCCTGATGCTCCCCACCCTAGCTGCATAGCAGGCTCTTCGTTCCTTTCTGAGGCTGGGTCTCTCTTACTGTTCAAAAGAAGGGAGCAAAATTGCCTGCAAGAGCTGTTAATGGAAATCTGGCTTTCAGGGGCTGCTTTGGTGGCATGGTGATGATCGTCTTGGTAGTCCGTCGGCACATTGTGTAGCGATAGTAACCTGTGATCCTTTGCAGCAGGTTGTTTCCTATGATGTTATGAAGGTGAGTTTCTAAAACCTGGTATAGAAAGGGACAAAGTAGGTCTTGTTACTACTCTAAAAGACTGTTTTCACTAACACCTGCCTTAAGAGTGAATGGCTTAAAGGCTCTTGGTTCCAGTCCCTGGTTTGAGGTGAGTGGCTTGCAATGATCTAATCCAACCCTTCCAGGCAGCGACCTAGCTTTAGTGACATTTACTGAAGTAGACTCTCCCTCTAGCCAGATGTTCTACCCTTGAGTGAAATTGATTTCATCTCTAGTTGGGGGTAACAAGCCTTTCTAGCTTGCTTTCAGTTCTGGGACAAAGGATACCACCGGCTAGGGATGGCCTTTGCTCTTGTCCCACAGAAGATGGGTGAGTAGGGCCTTCATCCTGTGCCGTTCCATAGGACAGACTTCCGCCCCGCGGTTTGGAGCTTGGGGTTCGGACGATCCACGTCTGTTCGTGATGTCTGCCGTTTCCCCGGCCTCTGCTTCGCATCCCGTGTGCAGACTGCTCCAGGTTCATTGTTCATTAGCACCCATGTTTAGTGTGTTCTGAAGCCCAGACTTAATGAGCTCAACTGCGGGGCTTTTCATCTGGAAACACAAATGCGTGCTCTTTTGCTCAGCAATGCTCCCGGAGTGTTGATTAACCTCTCCTCCTGTTTGACATTCCCACCGCTGTCATCATCTGTTCGCTCTCCCTCGGTCCTGTCTGTATTGGGGCCGGGAGGGCACAGGACTAGGGGAAGCAGAACAGCTGAGTATTTGAATTTTTATTTCCTTTAAATTATATTTGAATCCTCTGAGTATTGGTCTTTTTTTTAACTTAAACATATCATTTTTACATTTCAAGAGCTGTATATCCATAGTTATTTTATTTGAAGATTGTTCTAACTAGTGCATTTCATAATCTAAAAGGAAAGATCATTTGGACCCCGTGGTAGGTGGTTAAAACTTTTATCTTGGATTTCAGTCATAAACAAAGCAACTGCCAACCACAGGCCCAGATTACCATAAACATTTCCATCGTGACTAAACCCATGCTCTGTTGGCCGTCATCAAACCCAGGTCTTCCTTTAAGTCTTTAGGCAATAGTGTGTTTGTTTCAGACTTTGAGTTCCTTGGTCTATCTCTGATAGCTTGGTTCTGTCTGTAACCACCACTGCCCTCCCCTGCTACCTTTGGATAGGTGTCCGGCTTCCACGGAGAAATTTGGTAAAGGCCCCCGCCAAACTCTAAGTCAAAGGGGCAACTGACTCGCAGCTGAGCTAATCAGAGGCAAAATATGACTCCCGTTTAGATTTGGAAACCATCTAATGTTCAGGTTTTGGAAACAAAGGACTTCCTTTTATTATGTTAAATAAAGGGAGAGAAAAGTGGGGGTGTTGGGGGGGCAGGACAACTCTTAGTCACCTAAGCAAGGGGAGGTCTCTTACAGATAAGGGACTCTGAAGACAATGGCTCAACAACAGAAGAGCTTATTTGCCAAGGTTCTGCCTGAATTAAAGTAAAATAAAATAATTAAAAACAAATCACCTGCAAGATGAGCTAAAAGGAATCAATAGCTCTCAACCATGAAGAGAGTGACTGAGTCAAGATTTACCGGAAGGCTGTCTTTTGAGCTGCTTAAAACCTGGAGGTAGCTCAGCTGCCTTGAACACAGACCCCTGCCTGGAAACCTCCTGGAGGTTGAGGGTGGAAACCGCTCAGCCTAGATGTGCAGAGTTGTGACTGTGTGGATTCAGAGCCTCAGCCTCCCCCCCCCCCAGTGAGGAGACAGCAGAGCTGAGGTGCTCCTCGGAGCTCTGTGATCTGTGGTGCTTGCTGGGAGGACCAGCTGGAGATGGAGGGCTGTATCAGAACAACCGTCCCAGCGCTTATCCAAACAGAGAGAAGGAGAGGGGGAGAATCGAAGGTGTTTCCTAAGGACACAAAAGCCTGGAGAGTACTTAAGGGAAAGAAAAAGAGAGAGGGGGAAAAAAAAACACTCTGGAGAGGAATGTTTGGCGATGTACGAGTTGATTCGATGTTCACTCATTGTTAAATGACTTCAGTGAGAAGTAAATGACAGGCTTGTAAAACTCATTTACCAAATAAATTTCAAGGAGTGAGCAAGCAAACCAGGGTCCCTAGGCTGGGAAGATTAGCTTGAGTCCCCTCAACATGCCAGATGAGTTTAAGGGAACACAGTCCTTATGCATGCTCATGGCAAAATTGGGTGGGGCTGGGCTTGTAAGCAGGTAAGCATACGTCCTGCTTGGGTCTGTTCAGATCAAACCAGTACAGACTTTTCAAGAACCTCAGCTTCAAAATAATAAATAAATAGTGACTTGGAACATGGGCAGTCCCTTGGTTTGCTCACCAGGAAGGCTGTTGGGCTGCATAGTGGTTTTGTTCACCATAGTGGTATGTGACTCTTTGAATCCCCAGGTAAGTGAATGGTGCAGATGTTTCGGCCCTGGTTTCCTTCCTGCTCCCCTATGGGCAGAGCTCATTCCAAGCCACATTCTTAGAACCTTGTGAAGGAAACGGGGAGGGGGGGGTGCAGCACAACTCTGGAAGATGCTGTTCCAGTATGCCAGACTCCCAGAGCCTGTAGCCATGTGTAGGGAACCCACAGTGACCTTGGATTAGTCCAGGCAGCAATGTGGGGAGAGCCCAGGGTGACCTTGGAGTGGTCCAGACAGAGGCTCTATAGCACACACCGTGGAAATGGGTGCCCACCAGTGACTGAACCTGTGTGCTTATTTTATTTGCCATTTATCGAATTCGGTGTTCTTTTTCTTTTATACATTCTTTCTCTCCCCTTTCCTTCCTTTTCCCTCTCCCTTCTTTCCTTCCCAAGTTGAGTAGGGTCTTGCCAGGAGTCCAAGCTGGCCTTAAGCTGGCACTCCTGTTTCATCCTCCAAATGCTGGGGTCACAGGTGCACACCACTATGCCGGGCCTAGACCTTCCTTTATAAAGTAGTAAATGGGATGAGTGCCACACATTCTTTCATCTCAAGCTTTGCCCAACCTGAGTGATTCAGTGGGGGTGAGTCTGCTCGTATGCACTGTAAGAACACCGTTCCCTGTAACTCCTCTCTTCAAGCTTCTTTAAAAACAGAGAACCCTTCTAGGTTCCTCCATGGCTATCTCATACCAATGGGAGCCTCTTATTTCTTCAGAGCCCCATTCGAGCCCACAGGGGCAGAAGCCAGCCGAATCAGCAGCAGGCAAACCCTGTGCTGGACTGTTTTAAGAAATGGCGTCATTTCCCAAGCATTAGAGGTATCCAAAATGTCAGACTATTTTGGAAATATGTAGGGGTTTATTTATTTATTTATTTATTTTGGTTTTTACGAGACAGGGTTTATCTGTATTGTTTTGGAGGCTATCGGTCCAGCCCGGCCTCGAACTCACAGAGATCCGCCTGCCTCTGCCTCCCAAGTGTTGGGATTAAAGGTGTGCGCCACCACTGCCCGGCTATGTAGGGGTTTATGATAACAGCTGGGGTGGGTTTTAGATGCCACCATGAGAAGGGAAATTTTAGAGAGAGAGGGAAACTTAGTACAAAGGTTTTTTTTTGGGGGGTGTTGATTTTATTTGCTCTCTGTTTGCTTTATTTTATTTTGTTAGGTTTTGCTAGTAGTCCAGGCTTGCTTGGAGCTTAAGATAACCCAGAATACCCTGGTCAGGTATGCACCCCCTGCCCTGTAGGATGGCACAAGGTTTATAGACTTGGCTCTGGAAGTGCTGACTCTGGGGTAAAGAGTGTAGGCTAAGAAGACAGAGGAGGGGAATCTGAAAGCCTCCGGACTCCTCCCAAGGTTCCTGCAGAGCCAAAGCTTTAACTCCTAGCCTCTTCCCAGATTGCTGTTTGAAAGCAAATAAATAAACCCACTAAGGTAAACAAGGCGTGAGCAAACACTGCTGTAGGCTCACTGTTGTCTCTGGCCGCCGGCTGAGCTCTTGGCTCCTTCCTGCTTCTGAGCCCCCAAGAACCGGCTCATTTGGAGGCCAGTTCATAACATAACCCTCCAGATGTACAAGGTGCAAGCATGGGTTTGTTAGTCTTCATTCATACCCTTTATGGGGGCCAGTTCATAACATACCCCTCCAGATGCATAGGGCAGGTGCTGGCCACAGGCTCTTTGCAAGCATGGGTTTGTTAGTCTTCATTCATACCCTTTATGGGGGCCAGTTCATAACATACCCCTCCAGATGCATAGGGCAGGTGCTGGCCACAGGCTCTTTGCAAGCATGGGTTTGTTAGTCTTCATTCATACCCCTTAAGGTGAGGCACTTGAGAGGTTAAGGGTCTGGCTCAGATAGTTTCCAGCACCAGATCAAGGAGAACCAGAATTGGATTCTGGGTGCCCGGGCCCCACACCAAACTGAATGGACAGTTCAGTGTGCTCTGCAATGTAGAAGTAGGGAAACTCGGTGATTGCGATGGTAATAGCTGCAGGACATTCGGTTATCACTGAGGCTACCCTCCTGCGCTAACAAGGCTCCAGTGGGCTCCATTTTCAGCTCTCACTTTTCAATGCTGTGGAACCTGGGGCCTCCTGCACGCCCTTGCTCGATGTTAGCAAGCCTACTGCTACTGAGCCGCCCCCCAAACCCCAGCCTATTTGTTCATTATCTCACTTTGTACTTTGAGGCAGGGTCTGACGGTGTGGCCCATAGTGATCTCCAACTTAATTGAAAGACACAGAAGGCCATGTTTGGTTCTTTCCCTCCACTGCTCCCCCCGAAGGACAGGATGGCGTCTGTCATGTCTGTGAGAG